GCTTCGGGAGTTGATTCTGGAGGAGGCCCATAGCTCGCGGTACTCCATTCACCAGGTGCCGTGAAGATGTATCAGGATCTGAGACAGCATTATTGGTGGAGGAGGATGAAGAAAGATATTGTGGGATTTGTAGCTCGGTGTCTCAATTGTCAGCAGGTGAAATATGAGCATCAGAGACCGGGTGGCTTGCTTCAGCGGATGGATATTCCAGAGTGGAAGTGGGAGCGGATCACTATGGACTTTGTAGTTGGGCTCCCACAGACTTTGAAGAAGTTCGATGCTATTTGGGTGATTGTGGATCGGCTGACCAAGTCCGCGCACTTCATTCCTATTTGTACTACCTATTCTTTAAAGCGGTTGGCAGAGATCTATATCCGAGAGATTGTTCGCTTGCATGGTGTCCCAGTTTCGATAGAGGCACTCAGTTTACTTTGCAGTTTTGGAGGGCCGTGCAGAGAGAGTTGGGTACTCAGGTCGAGTTGAGCACAGCTTTTCACCCTCAGACGGACGGGCAGTCCGAGGGCACTATTCAGATATTGGAGGACATGTTGCGTGCTTGTGTGATTGACTTCAGTAGTTCATGGGATCAGTTTCTACCGCTCGCGGAGTTTGCTTATAACAACAGCTACTAGTCGAGTATTCAGATGGCTCCATATGAGGCTCTATATGGGAGGCGGTGTAGATCTCCGGTTGGATGGTTCGAGCCGGGTGAGGCCAGGCTTTTGGGTACGGACTTAGTGCAAGATGCTTTGGTCAAGGTGATGGTGATTCAGGAGAGGCTTCGTATAGCGCAGTCGAGACAAAAAAGTTATGCTGACAGGAAGGTTTGTGATGTGTCCTATATGGTTGGGGAGAAGGTTCTACTGAAGGTTTCACCCATGAAGGGTGTTATGAGATTTGGGAAGAAAGGTAAATTGAGTCCTCGGTTCATTGGGCCTTTTGAGGTGCTTCGGAGGATTGGGGAGGTGGCTTATGAGCTTGCTTTGCCACCTAGTTTATCGAGTGCGCATTTGGTATTTCATGTTTCTATGCTCCGGAAGTATATTGGAGATCCGTCTCATGTTCTGGATTTCAGCACGGTTCAGTTAGAGGGTGATTTGACCTATGATGTGGAGCTAGCAGCTATTTTGGAGCGGCAGGTTCGAAGGTTGAGATCAAAGGATATAGCTTCAGTGAAAGTGCAGTGGAGAGGTCGGCCCGTGGAGGAGGCTACCTGGGAGATCGAGCGGGAGATGCGAAGCAGTTATCCTCACCTATTTAAGGCTTCATGTATGTTTCTTGACTCGTTCGAGGATGAAGGTTTGTTTAAGAGGGGGAGGATGTAACGACCTGGCCGGTCGTTTCATGAGTTACTGCTATGTTTTCCCCTTTTCTGCTTCTTTATGATTTGTTCATCTGTGTTATATGATATCGGGTTGGTTGGTTCGAATTCGGAATGGTTTTGGAAAGTTTTGAGACACTAAGTCTCTTTTGAGTAAGCTTAAGTTGGAAAAGTCAACCGGATGTTGACTTATGTGAAACAGGTCTCGGATGTGAATTTCGATGGTTCGAATAGCTTCGTGAGGTGATTTGGGACTTAGAAGCGTGATCGGAATGTGTTTTGGAGGTCCGGGGTAGATTTAGGCTTGAATTGACGAAATTGGAATTTTGGCATTTTTCGATTGGTAGCGGAGATTTTGATATTGGGGTCGGAATGGAATTCCGGAAATTGGAGTAGGTCCGTTGTGTCATTTGTGATGTGTGTGCAAAATTTCAGATCATTCGGACGTGGTTTAATAGACTTTTTGATCAAAAGCGGAATTCGGAAGTTTTTGGAACCTTAGGCTTGAATCCGATGTTATTTTGTTGAATCGATGTTGTTTTAGGTGTTTCGAAGATTGGTATAAATTTGGATAGTGGTATATGACTTGTTCGTGCTTTTGGTTGAGGTCCCGGGGGCTTCAGGGTGACTTTGGATGGTTGACGGGGAGTTCTGAGTTGGAAAGTTGCAGCTGAATTCTATCATAACCGCACCTGCGGATTCGGTACCGCAGGTGCGGGACCGCAGAAGCGGACTATTAGCCTCAGATGCGGAATTGGGTGAGAAGAGCTGAAGGCGCAGGTGCGGAAGTTGGGTCACGCCTACGAGACCGCAGGTGCGGTAGTTTATGCACAGGTGCGGTTTTGAGGTTTTAAGTGGAAATTGTAGAAGCGGTCGTTTGGCCGCAGAAGTGGCTCCACAAGTGCGGAAAATGGGCCGCAGGTGCGAAAACCCTGGGCCAGAAAGTATATATGTCCTCCTTCGCGAATTTTTGATTATTCCACCATTTTTACATACGGGTTTGAGCTTGAGGGAGGGATTTCAAGGGGGATTTCGTGGAGGTAAGGTTTTTGGACCCTAAATTTGTTTCTATGGTCGTTTTTGACTGATTAAGCTTGAAACCTATGGAAATTAGTAGCAAAAATTGGGGTTTAGGGCTTGGAAATTGGAGACCTTAATCTAGAGATTTGAGGGGTCATTTGTGGTCGGATTTTGGTATTTTTGGTATGTATGAACTTGTGGGAGGATAAGGATTTCATTGATGTAATTTTTATCGGATTTCGAGACGTGGGCCCGGGGGTCGGGTTTGGTCAATTTCGGGATGTGTTGTAATTTGATTATTTTCGCACGGGCTTCGTTCCCTTAGCATATTCTAATGATTGTAATTCTGATTTTGGGTAGATTCGACGCAAATTGAGGCCGAATCGAGAGGCAAGGGCGTCGCGGAGTAGTATTTCATCCGGTTTGAGGTAAGTAACGATTGTACATCTGGACCTGAGGGTATGAAACCCTGGTATTTCGTATTGTTTGATAAATGAGGTGACGCACATGCTAGGTGACGAGCGTGTGGGCGTGCACCGGGTAGGGATTGTGAATTGTTCCGTCCCGTAGCGGCTATTAAGCTGCGTGTTTGATTTGAAATCTTGTGATATTCCATATTATAGAGTTTTATACTATATCTTGGGTTGTACGCCGTGTTTGGGGCCTTGTGCCGGCCTGTTTAGACCCTTAGGGTTATTTTCACTACTTTCCTCACTCTATTTGATTTGAAAGCATATCCTTAGTCATGTTTTACCTGTTTATTGTTTAAAACCGGTTCTATTTCTATACTTCTTAATATATGAAAACTGTTTGGGCTGAGTTCCCTGATTTTCACCGATATGCCTGAGTGGCCGTGAGGTTAATGACTGAGAGAGGTTGAGGACCTAATGGTGAGGATTATATATATATATATATATATATATAGATAGATCAGGCTGCACGCCGCAACGATACTTATATGGATCGGGCTGCACGCCGTAGCGTTATGTATTGGATCGGGTTGCGCGCCTCGGCGATATGACGCATGGGCTGTAGGAGCCCCTCCGGAGTTTGTACACCCCCAGTGAGCATAGTCGACTATATATATTGGATCGGGATGCACGCCGCAGCGATTATTATATATATTGAAGCGGGCTGCACGCCGCAGTGATTATTATTATTATTACTATGAGCTAATTATTGAGCCGGAGTGCTGAGAGTGAGTACTGTGTGACGAGAGCTGAGTCACGAGTGACTGAGAGGCTTGCCCGAGGGGCTATACTTATGAGTGATATCTTGCCCGAGGGGCCTGTTTATGATAATTACTGTTTTCACTCTTCTTTTATACTAAGCCTCTATTGAAAAATGTTGAATAAATGATTTCAAAGACTTTGATTTAAACTGGAGATTTTACGAGTAAATTGACTATTGAACTGCAGATCTTTGACTTGATATTTCTGTTGAGATTTCCTGATATATGAATTTTTTAAATGCTCGTCACTTCACTCAGACTTTATGTACTTTAGTTACTTATTGGGTTGGCGTACTCACATTACTCGCTGCACCTTGTGTGCAGATCCAGGTGCTCGTGCATCAGAGTGAGGGCTTCCAGCACTCTCAGAGTATTTCCGGAGATCGCAAGGTAGCTGCACGGCGTTTGCAGCCCTGCTTTCCTTCTTCCTATCTTAGTATTCTGTTATTTCAGACTTATGATGTATTATTCAGTCAGTTTTTGAGTTGTATTTAGAGGCTCTTGACTAGTGACACCGGATTTGTTGGGCTGTATTGGTATTTTGTTCTGGCTTTCCGCATATTCTATTTTATTCATCTATTTCATATGACGAATTTGAGACTTATTCGATACTAGAAAAATGATCTTTTTTTATAAAAGATTTCGTTGTGGTAAATGTTTGGTTGGCTTGCCTAGTACTGTGATAGGCGCCATCACGACTGGGATATTTGGGGTCGTGACATGAAATTGCTAATTCTTAGAGCCTTATTAATATTCCTGTTGCATTTTCTTGATAATGATTTCATTACTTGCATAATATTTTATTTGAATGAGAAACTATTTCAATTTGATTCAAATATTTTATTTGGATGTTTATTTTTGTAAGAAGAAGAAGCTCCAAAGCATGTCTAAACGGATTAATTCAAAACCGAACTTAAAATATCTAAGCCAATCCGAGCTTATTTGAATTGTGGTAATTTCTTCAATTTGAAAATCAAATCCAGACAACAATTTTAATATTTAACTTGCAGGGTGGAGAGAGAGAAGTAGAAACGAGAAAGAACAATTAGTAGTACATTAGAAATGAATGACGAAACAAAAGTGATCAATTTGAAAGCTTAGTGATTTACATTGTCAAAGTGCAATTATAACCATCTTGCCTATTCTTAAGAGTACATCAATGTATGAGCTATAAACAAGAATTGCATTAATCAAATAGAGAAAAAAAACCTACTAACAAGAGAGATTAACACACAACCAATAGGAGTCACAAAAGATTAACAATCACAGCCAGATGTCTCATCTGATTTTAACATGTTGCATAGTAGACCATTCTCTGTTTCGATTGCTTCCTCATATTTTAACAAGATGCAACCCCACCCCACCCCACCCCCCACCCCAAACAACCCAAAGACAGTAAAATGCAGGATTTATGCGGTAATACACGAATTCCAGCAAAGGAAGCAACGAATAAGAAACTAATACACACCTCGAGAAACTGTTTTGTTTGCATCATGTTTATCAAATCAAAACATACCCCCCTCCTTGGCCCGGGGGGGAATAAACAAAGCTGGTGAATTTCACCCATCTAACTAGAAATAAACTTTATTAGGAGTCACGGAAATATTACAATGCATCATACATGCACTTACAGGCATGACATACGTGCCCCTCTACAAGAAAGTCGTTACCTTTCTATATTTCAAATACATGCTTGTTTCCCAGATGTAGGAACATTCTATACTGTGCTTAAATGCGTGACCTTGAAGCTGAAGATGTAGAAGCAGGTGCACTCTGCAGCACAAGAAATAATACTAATAAGTAATGATTTTAACATATGTACACAACACAACAGCAAGCAATCCGAGTTAAAATGCACACAATTGCCAGCAGTCAGTGGCAACTTTTTGTTCCAGGTCGACCACATATCGATGAGGTTGAGCAATAGTGGCAGTGCAACAGCTAACATTACCTCTCGTCCTCTTCTTACTTCGTTCTCCTCCAAAGAACATGACTAACACCCTTTATTTTCTTTGATTTGGCAACAATGGGAGCTCAGACTGATGATTATTTTTATCAGACACTTACGATAATCTGATTACCAAAGTCATCAATAATTGGAATTCAACTGTATATGCATATTAATTTTTTTTAATCGGTTGTATGTGATAATATTTCAAAATTAATAGACACAATGACCAAACTTGAAGCTAAGGTACAACGGACAGCTAGAAAGATCTTAAAATGAATCATGGAGATGAGATCAGTTCTTACCAAGGGGATGCCCTTTGTCGCTCTCTCTTCCAAGAACCTTGAGGGCTTGAAGAAATTACCATATAGTTCTGACCACTTCTTGAGACTTCTATATATATGGCCCGCTCCAACAGTGTCAGCCCAGAAAACAATACCACCTCTGCCAAAAACAGAATCATCGTCAAAATCATATTGTAGAAATATGTTTAAATTTTGATAGAGATAATATTAACAGATACGAAATGTTAGCACAATTGCTAGAAAACCCAGTCATGATTTCTCATCTTTAAGTGTCAAGAGTTAAGGATAAATTAAAGCTATTTTATGTTTTAAGTAGACTGCCCAATCTTCCATCACTTCCACCCTACCTAACCCCCCCCCCCCCCCCCTTTTTCGTAATTATCTTCATGTCTCTTGGTTAACAGTTCTATCTACTCTCATTGTATTGAAAGCTTTATGAAGATTTCATGTTTAGCTCCCACTGTCTACACCTCTGAATAGTAATCAGTTAGCACAAGTTTCAATAAGTAATTGGACTTTAATATGGAGAGTAACATATGACTGCTGGTTTCCAGCAGAGCATAGACAACTAACCGGTAAGATGGGAAACTCATTCCAAGGACGGATGCGACATCAAGGTCAGATGCTCGGACTACTATCCCCTCATCCAAAACACGACATGCCTCATTTACAACTGGAAAGAGTATCATCTCAACAATTTCTTGGTCAGTGACAGATATTGGCTGCAAGAAAATTCCAAAACTTTTTCTCATATAAGTTGAAACAACAGGACCCTCTCAACTAATAGTCAAGTCCTCAATTCTTTAAACCCTTTTTCTTAGATAGAGATACCTTTCCTCCAGGCATTATGTTGGTGAGCCTTCTTGATTCCTCAATAATCGGAAGCACCGTAAAATCAGGTCTTGGCTTCCTTCCCTTTTCGTAAATGTAGTATCCTTTTCCATTATTTTTACCTGCAAACCTGTGTCAATGGTGGAAAGCAAGACCTCTGAACCAGCAACCCAAAGGATAAAAAATGCAACATTACCATTTCGACCACTTTTTATAAGAAGGTCGATCAGCGGAGACTTAAATGTTCGATCAGAAAAAGCTGACCCAAATTCTTTCCCTACAGCAACAGCCACTCCATATCCTGTTAAATCCTGAAGCCTGCAAGATGTTAAAGCAAGTACCCAAGCATGCCATGTGAGCCAACAAACACCAGTTAATACAGTGTCTAATAAAAAAATGTTGTTTTCCCTCTGTCTTCCTTCTTAATTTCTAAGCAAGCAAATGCAGTATACCATAGCATTCATCAAATTCCAACCAAACTAAAGGGATGGGAGACAATGCACTTGGGCTCTAACATATAATAGAATGTATGTGCTGCTCTCTCTAATTTTTCTTGTGTTTTGTGGTAGCATCGGAAAAACTGTTTTCGAACATACTCTTAATCTTACATAAGACAGTAAATGCCTCAACAATTCAAAGAATCTGCAATCCTTTTTACTACTTTGATGTATAGACAACTAGATTTGAACAAAATCATCACTTATATTCTGTCAAAGGATGCATTTGAGAATTTCTATCATCTAGAGCATTTTATATGAGGTTGTATGACTAAGTACGAAGTTTTAAGAAAGAAAGAAGACTTTTGACTCATAAGATAAATGTATATAACCTACAAGAAATACCTTAAAATCTTGTGGTATTCATCATGCCATGTCATTCTCATAGGAGCATGACATTAAAGGTAAAATGGGGATGTGCAAATTAAAGCACTTCCAAATATGTAAAAAGATGTCAATCTTTTTTAAACAAACCAAAAGGAACGGAGAGAGCAATCATCCTAAAGCTGTTATAAGCTAAACAAACAATGAAGAATAGCATCTGCAGAGACAAATTGCCCAGTTTGTATTTATGTGTTCTCTTGCATGAAAATTATAACCACATTAAATAAGGAAGAGAATTACTGGAATGGACCCATAGGGAGACCAAAGTTGGTGATTTGCGCATCAATCCTGTAGACATCCACTCCTAGATTGGCCAGAATATGTGCGCCCTGGGCGTAGGGAAAGAAGGTCCTATTGACAGCAAAGCCAGTACAATTTCCCACCACAACAGGCACTTTCTTAATTGCCTTGCCAACAGCCATAAGGTCAAGAATTGCTTGCACAGATGTCTTCTCTGTTCGTACTATCTCCAGCAGAGGCATAATGTGAGCAGGACTGACCACGGCAAAAACCAAGTTAGCAGTTGGAACAGAAAAAGATGCTCCCATAGTAATTGCCTGCAGCTCTATCTCAAGGATTTGTTACATAACTTAAACATAAGAATTACCCTCTTCTAAAAGGATCACTTACGTTACTATTCATGTTGCTGCATTCAGACACAGCAATATGCTTCCTGGGTGTCAGTGTAAGTTAGCTTTTACTTTTAAAAATCCCTTAAGCGCAATAAATAAAGAGAAAGGCAGGTATAATATATGTGATAACATTCTTGTCCTTTCAAGCTAGTTTCACGAGCAAGTATAAAATATCGCATTTTGTTTCACATTGTTCTATTTTATTTTTTGAAATTGCATGTACATCATATTCTTTAAGTGGTCACGTTTCCCTCAGATTAATAACTACTATACAAAACTTTGCCATGCATGACTTTGTACCTGAAAAAGTGGGCCCCTATAATCCTATCCTTGGATCTGGTATTTTCTCCAATAACATTGAGGTCGATAGTGGATGTGTTACTTGCCAAAATACAATGTGGAGGGCACACCTTCTCAATTTCACTGAATATTTTCTGTTTTAGCGGAATGTTTTCAATTACAGCCTGCAAACAAGATGAGGCCGCCAGAGTTGCAGCAAATTAAGTATGGAAAATTCTGATCATCAACATTGTTCCAGTAGTAGGGTGAAAAAGAAGCCTAGTGAAGAAGAAATGAGAAAAGAGGAAACAATTATGTGAACATTTAACAGCCAAACATAAGTACAGAAACTCACCTCTATGACCACATCCACATCCTTAAAATCTGAGTAACCCAATGCACCTTTAACCATTGAAAGGGCTTTATCTGCTTTGCCCTGTGGCAATTTCTTTCTAGCTACCAGTCCACGGACATTTTCTGTAATATAAGATACGTCCCCATAAGTTTCTACATTTCAGGACAACTAAAGGACTGTAAGAAAATAAACTGGTCAAGACCACCATGATTTTGCAATCCTCACCGTCACTGACTAAATGACTAGAAATAAGTAAGTTAACTGTAGTCAAAGAGTGTATCAACAACCTTCAATAGCTTTCATCCCCTTCTGAAGATACTCAGAATTAATTTCCTTGAGTACAACAAATGTGTTGCTAAGAGCAAGAGCTGTAGCTATTCCTGAACCCATTAAACCTCCACCAATTACAGCAACTTTCTTGACCGTCCTAGGTTTGAGACCAATATCAGTGACGGTGGGTACCTGCCCAATAAAAAATCAAAAGGTCATCCAGAAAGAAGAAAGTATTGATTGATTCAAAGGGAGTGCGGACATCTAACTGCATATTTCAAAAAGTTAGAAGTCCAGAGAGGATCAGAACAAAAAGAATACAAAACTAATGAGAATGGTATATATATAAACAAGTAACTGCACAAGTTCATTACATTAAAGAGAACCACACTCTATGTCACCATGTGAAATCATACTGATAACAAACTTTACAAATTAAGGCACACCATGAAAATCCATTCCATACGTTAAACCTCAAGAAGAGTCAACCCAACTAAATTAGCAAAAGAAAAGAATCAGCAAACCCCAGCTTAGTTCACTCATTGTAATTGTTCTTTATAGAGACTTTGCACGTAAGCAGATAGTTTTGCATGCCACGGCTAATGCGTTAATCTCTTGAACACGAGATTACTAATAGATAAGAACTTTTTTGATAATTGGCGTTCAAGTTTACAGTTTAATAATAAATAGCAATTTCAAGAAAATGAGTCAAAGCAAAAGCAGTTAACTAAAGGATAAGTAAGACCGAGAAGGTGCATAAGTTGTAGTCATCCCAGCAATTCTCTTATTCATTCTTTGCCTGCTCAAATAAAGATGCTTACGAAGAACGACAACCTTCAAGCTAGCATCACAAAATCATAGTGTAGATTCATACCCTTCATAGTTCAGGATTTGCCGTATCATACCTTTGATGTTGCCCGTTGGGCAAAAAATACATGAACAAGACCCTTGGATGTATCTGACAACACAAGGTCCTTAAATACTTTAGCTTCCTGCAAAACATCCAAAAAGAGTTGTTATGCCATCTCGTACATGGTGTAAAGAAAAAACTAGCTAGATGTCTTCATAACCCCCTTTTCCAATTATTAGGACCTACACAAAAATGTAACTGGACCATCCACATTTTCTGCAGAGAAACGTGTTTACAATGCAATAATATAGTTGACCGAGAAATAATACCTTGAGAACACCATGATATCCTCCATGGATGATTCCATCTTCAACTACGTCAATGCATGCCAAATGCTGAGGCATATTCTTAACTGTCTGTTTCACTTGTTGCCTAGCCACCTTCAACGCTTCACGCGCTTCAGAAAGGGAACCAATTTTGTCTGTCTTGTGAAGGGAACGCATCCAAGGCTTTCGCCTTTCAGCAATATCGAGTGCCCACTGTCTAGATACTTTTAACAACTCTGATGAAGGGGCAATAGCATCAATAAGACCAAGCTTCTTCCCTTCTTCCGACATTATTGGTTTAGATGTCTGCAAAAGTTGTTTATAATATATAATGCCATTACGATGATTCGCTTGATTGATTGACAAAATTTAAGTAAGAACAGAAGCAATCTAATTAATTGAGCACATATTGGAAACTAAAAAGAGATCACTGCCAGGATAAGCAGATAAACTTTAGAACCCATAGGTCAGAAAGTGACCAGAAGTTGAATAATGCTCACATCTAAGTAGGACATTACGTCATAATATTTCTGCCTTTTGTTTGTAAGTTGCTAAAATAAAGAGAATTCCAGTTATATCTAATGACAAGAATAACTGTAAACAGTTCTAGGCAACATGCTGCTCAGGACAGCATTGATTGCCCAACACTTTGGTAATAGCAGCATTGATTGCCCAACACTTACTTTGGTAATGAATCGATAGACCAAATAAATTACGGTTAAGGGCCTAAAATACCCCTCTACTATTAAAAATAAGCTACATGTACCCCGGTTTCACTTTTGTGTTATTATAGTCCCTGCCGTTTTACTTTTCTATTTAAAATACCCCTCAGTCGCTAGTTTATTAATAGGATATTAATAAATACACGTGTCACTATCCTATTGCTCTAAAATCACCCGCCTCATATCTCAATAAAATTAGCCGACCCAACCCTTAAGTTAGAGGGGCTCGAGTGGTTCGGGTTAAAAGGGTTGGGTCGGCTAATTTTGATGAGATATGGGGCGGGTGATTTTAGAGCAATAGGATAGTAACACGTGTATTTATTAATATCCTATTAATAAACTAACGGCCGAGGGGTATTTTAAATAGAAAAGTAAAACGGCAGGGACTATAATAACACAAAAGTGAAACGGGGGTACATATAGTTTATATTTAATAGTAGAGGGGTATTTTAGGCCCTTGACCGAATATATTAACCTGAGGATCTAAACAGTTCAGAACCCGGAAAAAAAAAACTAGTCACAAGTAGGGGTGGCAAACGGGCGGGTCGGATCGAATATGGGACGGGTCGAAAACTGGTTATGGAAAAACGGATACATTATCCGACCCGACCCATATTTAGTATGGCTAAAAAAACGGATTAACCGGCGGATAATATGGGAAACCATATTATCCATGGCTTCTTGAATATGATCACTTTCGCGAGAATTCCTAGTATCCCAAACTTGAGGAACCCCCAATTTGAGGCTTTATAAATGTAAAAGTTAAACCCATTAGTTACCCATTTTCTAAATGGATAAATATGGTTCTTATCCATATTTGACCCGTTTTTAAAAAGTTCATAATCCGACCCATTTTTTAGTGGATAATATGGGTGGTTAATTGTTTTCTTTTAACCATTTTGCCACCAATAGTCACAAGTTTCAGCTAGTTTACTGATACGAAGATAAATGACTTACCATCATCATTTCGACAGCTTTAGACAACCCTATAAGCCTCGGAAGACGTTGTGTACCTTAAGAAGAAACATTGTCTCTGTGCTTAGTCAGTTGGTAATGGATATAATTCAAAACCTACAATCAAGTGCAATGAGCAGTATGTGGCAGAATTACCTCCAAAGCCAGGCATGACTCCGAGACTGAGCTCTGGCAACCCCAGTTGTGCTCGTGGTGCAGCAATTCGTGCATGGCATCCCTGCCAAAAGCGTACACTACTTAATTGACATACCAAGAAAAGAGTTATATAGACAGCACAAGCTACAGAGATCACAAACCAATGCCAATTCCAGGCCGCCTCCTAGTGCAAGTCCTTCTATGGCAGCAACTGCAGGCTTCTTACCATCTAAAATTAAAAAAGACAACAGGATTGACAGATTTGTAAATAACATTTGACTACAGAATGATACAGAGAAGCACCAAGAGAAGTAAAGAGAGATTTAAAGATCTGAAATCAGGATTTAAACAGTGTCAACTACCTTCCATTATGTTCACCACAAGATCAACAGAAACATCAGGCATTTGAGAAATATCTCCTGCAAGATTTAATCCAACTCCATTTTTTCAACACGGATGTCCATTGAGACACAACCTTACTCTACGAAGATGAGATTAAAGTAATCCTACCAGTCCCATGAACCTTCTGAAAAACATTGATATCAAAACCGCCAGAAAATCTCCCTCCATTTCCTGAATAAAAATACAGAGAACATAAAAATGAGATGCAACGGAAGACTCACATAAACAATTAAGCAAAGCGCACAAATCAATCAACTGCGTCTCAATAAAACTTGAACCCCTATATCGGATTTTTCATAAGCGGCATCACAATTAATCGGTCGAGGGTGACTCATAGAAGTTGGGGGATGACGAGAGAGATGGGAAGCCGAGTAAAGTAGCAGCAAGCCAACACATCAAAAAAATATTAAAAAAATGCTTTCTTTTTTTGCCATTTTTTCAATCTCGGCAGGATTAACATTAAAATTATTAACCAAATTCACCCAACGTAGGAAGAAACTTATAAAATCGTAGTTGCTCATGGCTATAGCCATCTCTGCCCCTTGCGTCAATCCCACGAGTCAAGGAATTTTTCTGAATTGTGGGTTTAAAAATTAATATTCTTATCACTTCTTCAATATAGAATAGTCTGTCTATTGGTTTGTTCAGTGTATTTTAGAGCTAGCGTCGGCAGTTCGAATACTTTTTATTAGCGAAAAGTGCTAGAGAAAGTGAAAATGCAGGTGGGTCGAATCGAACCTCCAACTTTTGCTAGGAAATTAGACACTCGACCAATGCATTAAGAACTGCATTTGGCAAGTAGTGTCACTTTATTTCCATTATATATTATTTGCTTTTCACATATAATCTACCATAAATGAATTAAATAAAATTTTGCCACGAAGTTGCGTCACGTGACACCACTTGGGCCTACATGCATCCTCCCCTGCCCTATATGATTGATCAAACTACAACTAAATTAAACTAACCGCCAACCTCCTTTATCCAGGCAGGCCTTGGTCCGTCTAATACAAAACTCGCCATAGGTGGAGTTAAGGAAAACACCAAATGTACCAAAAAAATTAAACTCAAATAAATCCATAAAGCACACAAGGATGTGGCCTATTGGTCAATGAAGTAGACTGAGAACCATGAGCACGTTCAATCACAATTGAAGCAAAGAAACACTAGGTAATTTCTTCCTATCTGCCTAAGCTTGGTACCCAGAGTTACCTAGAACCTCTGTTGGTGGGAGGTAGCAGGCACCAAGTGGAATAGTCAAGGTGCACGTAAGCTGGCCTAAACACCAGCGTTATCAAATAAATAAATAAATCCATAAAGTATCCCATAAAGCAACAGATCACTAACACTTCGCTTCACCACATTCTTTAGAAAGTGAAATTTCACTTATAGACGAAATAAATCATCTCAATTCCTGAATCCTAGTCGTAGAACACAGAAGATCCGGCTGAATTACAAGCAACCACCTAATTACCGAACGGTATAGAGAGCTAACCAGTCAAAACAATAGCTTTAACATCGTTTCTCATCGTCGCTTCAGTCCACTTCTCTTTCAATCCAGCGATAACTGAAACCACAAATACACAAAGTTCGAATCAAAATCCAATACAAACACATGAAGTGAAATCGAAATAAGTATAAAGGGATAAGCTTACTGGGAATAGCAAGAGCGTTCACCGGAGGATTAAAGATGGTGATGACGGCCACGCCATCGCTTCCCACCTCCATCGTCACCTTAACTCCGCCCATTTCCCACTTCTTTCAACTGGAAAAGAAAAAATATAGTATTGCAATCACAAAGAATTAAGAGGAAGGCAATTTAAATAAGAAAGTTTGATAGTGGTGGTATATCTTTGTTATAGGTGCGCGCGGAGAAAGAAAATATGTACACGGTGTTAGTTCTACTTTTTAAATTAAAAAAAAAAAACAAAATTTTACTTTGGAAAGTAACATACAGAAGAATTTCCAGTGGGAACTGAAAAGTTGATAAAGCACTAACCGAATGAAGGCAAGAGAAATTATTAATATTAATTAGAAGACTAATTTTGCCCAAGTCGTCGGTTGGGACTTATTTTAATCGTGCGTCACGTTTTGTGCGAGGCAAAAGCAGTAAAGAGACCTTTTTTTGTTAAGGTAAGGATAGGATGTTTTATATGCGTTCCGAACCTAAATGTTGCCTTTTATTACAGGGAAAATCTCACTTTATACCCATTGATTTCAAATACTATTTACCCTTTAATATTCAGGCTGAAATTATTTACTTTTCCTACCCATACGGTCCAAACTATTTACCCGGCCCATGCATTAGCTTATTCCCCTCATTCAATGCTTCAGTTAACGCTATTTCACCCGGTCATTTCTTTCATTTCAAAAATCCCATAATGCCTTTTCTGAAATTAATAAAATAAAATCATACTGTCCCCCGTCTGTTCTTTTCCTTTTTCTGTTTCAGTTTAAAATGGGAGATTTCTCTATTAGGAACCAATCAACAGGTGAGCGTTGCTGTTGATTACGAGCCTAAGATAAGAATAAGAGTCTTAATTTCTTTGTGTCTTAATACTTTTCCCTTACAGGCTTCTGTGAAGGCGGTTGTGCTGTTATAGTGGATTCTGGAACATCATTACTTGCTGGTCCAATTGTATGATTTACTTTGTTTGGATTATTGCAGAAGTTGTAGACCTTTCGACTATCTAGTTATCCCTCGTGTCCACTGGTAACAAAAAGGAATTGCATTGTACCAAATACCAATTATTCCACCATATAACTTTCTCGCATAAGCTTATAGAAAAACTAATTTCCTGGCAAAGATATCAAAGCTAGAGTGCTAGATTTCTATAAAGAACTCGGGAGGGAAAGACGTGAGGAAGTATTGCCTCTGCTTTTTGATCTATTAGTCCTGCGATGAATTTCCAACTATTTTGTGCTTTTTTGAAGATTTCTTGTTTTATTCAAAGTGGGTGCTGTTAAATATTGTGTTCATACTGAAATTTGATAGCATTTTGAGCTAATTTGAGGTGATTGAGATCGAAATTTTCAGCTAAAAATCGAAGAAGAACACAGCTACAATATACCGCTATGGTATACAATATGTTGTAGGAGTATATAGCTATACTGCAACAGTATACTATTATAGTATACAATATATTGCAACGGTATATTTGTAATAATTGAAGAAGAACACAGTTACCTAACAGTATACCGTACAGTATACAATATACTATAGGAGTATATAGTTATACTGCAACAGTATACTATCATAGTTTACAGTATACTGTTATAGTATACTGTAATAATGTGCAATATACTGTAATAGTATACAATATACCATAATAATATACTTATTACCCGTAAATTCACTTGCAGTTTCCCCTATAATTTGCTCTAAGCTTTTACCCAGCGTGAGGGGCAAATTGAAAATGCAAATTTTTTTTTCGTGTTGATTTATTCTATGACTTGAATTCCAAGACTTCTGACTTCTGCAAAATATTAATCTGCCATTGGAGGACCTTGAAGCTTTGAAACTCATAAATTGGGTTTGTTGAGTTTGTGGTTATTTTAAAACTCAAAACAAGAATTTTTTTTAACTCTTTGCGTATAATTGTATACCCTGTTGGTATAGCTATAGACTATACTGGTATCATATGTTAGTTAATATTTTTTGGTTGTATTAGCTATATTTAATTGGTACACAATTTGATTTTTCTTTAGTAATAATATGAAAAAAAAGAATAATAAAAATGAAAACAGTAAATGAAATTAGATTATGAAGAGAGAGAATATAATTAAAAAAAGTTAAATGAAAATAGAAAAGGAAAAAAGAATAAAAATAAGAAGAAAACGAGAAAAAAGAAAAGGAAAAAAAAAGAAAAAGAAAAAAGAAAAGAAGCATAGAAATAAAAAAGAATTAGAGAATAAAGAAAAAATTCCCCACAAAAACTACTATGGGTAGGAAATGTAATTAGTTTGATGGGAGAAAAACAAATGGTAAACAAGGGTAAATAGTTTTATTTTTGTGGGTAACTGTGTCATTCTCCCTTTTATCAAAATAAGTGGGAAGAAAAAGGATGAGTACAATGTTATATATAGTGCATAATACATACGCTATACTGAATATTTCAAACTTAATACATGCGCTATACTCAATATATAGCGCATGTATGCGCTATGCAGAACTTAAATTAGTAAACATGATTTATAATATTCTTGGTTATTGGGTTCATCGTAGCATTCTTCAAAACTATATTGATTTTCGTCCTACGAATGGTGATGAGAACAAATGACTATCAGTATTATGTTATAAAATAAATATCCGAATAACCAACATAAACTTGAATATTAATTTGCAAGTGGCCCAACATGGCTTCAAAATCGCACGTTTCCCACAAAAACACCTACGGACCTCATCACGTCCAGACATATGTATTGCCGGAACTTGAAATTTTATGAAAAATAAGATTATTTGATTTTAAGCTGTGAGGATTCGCAAAGAATAAAGTAACATGTTCGCGGTTTTTAAAGGTTAGAATGTGTGGTTTTAGGTTGCATAACGCATATTGCACATGCGTCATGTTGAACTAGCAAAGGAATCATTACGGTACAAGTGTGTACATGCCTTTTCAGGTTGATAAGACAAGGCGTGCATTTAATTTTTAGTATTTTCCCGAACTGCTGCATAACGCATATTGTACATGCGCCATGTTGAACTAGTAAAGGAATTATTACGATACAAGTGCGTACAGACTTTTTCAGGTCGATAAGACAAGGCGTGCATTTAATTTGTACTATTTTTCTGAACTTTTGCATAACGCATATTGCACATTCTCCATGTTGAACTAGTAAAGGAATCATTAAGTTACAAGTGCGTACAGGCCTTTTCAGGTTGATAAGACAATGTGTATGTTTAATAGCGCATCTTGTACATACGTCATGTTGAACTACCTCTACTTTCGTTCTTTTTAAGTAGAACCAAATTTTTCTTTCCAGATATTCATTTAACCAAGCCTTTCCAAAATGCCACTTACATTTAATAAATGGTATAAGAAGAGGCAAAAGGGTTAAGGTAGCTCAAAAGATCCACATGGTACGGGTCAGAACACAATCGATCCCTCTCTTAAAAATAATATGCTAGGTTGCTATACTGATTTGGTGGATGATAAGTGGTATGGTATTTTACATCCCTTAGAAAATAAACCCATCAATATACATATAGATCTAAAAATTACAAGGCACATTATTGAGGGGGGGGGGGGGGGCGTATTCTACAAAGCCTGAAGGTGTGCGAATTTGGGGTAAAAATCTATAGTAGGTTCCCCTTATACTCAAAAATGTGAGATTATGAAGTATTATGTCGTTGGCATGGGCTAGCTGTTCCATAAACATTATTTGCAACGTTCCAAACTTCCATACATATAGATGAACCAGAAGTTATGCAGTATTTGATGAAGGAGATCTTAGAGATGGAAAAGGCACTAGCCGTTCATGATGCATTGGAGGATCTTAACTACCTCCAAGGGACTGAAGATCAGCATTGAGGTTTATTAGAGAATGAAAAATTGCATAAAGATCTTTATTATCCCGTTTTTCCAACAGTTGTGGAGTGGGAGGGCCTACCAAACTATATACCACAGACGTTGGACATTGTAGTGTCGTATTGTTGTAGAAACCAAGCAAGTGGTCTTATTGATGATATGAAATACGAGAAATGTATGATAATTGGGGGCTAGATTATGATGCCCTAGGTCTGGATGGATACGAACAAGATGGTGATGAAGATGATGAAGAAAATGACAATGAAGACCCCGACGAAAGTAACGATGAATTAGTGCCTGACAGTGACGATAATGACGAATGAAAATATTTCAAATTTTTTAATTTTTTGTTTAGTTTGCTATTGAATATTCAATGCTAAGTGTCAAGTAGAGTTAAAATGATTGTAAATACATTTTTATTTCATTGATATTGCAAACACACTATTACTGACACTTATTCCTACTAACTATACTGCTAAAAACTAATAATATGCTTGATAATTGACAATGTTGGATGAACTGCCACCAGGAGCTGAATTGCCATCGCGTCCCAAACCGACTGTAGTACATTTATGGTGATCGTGTCCTTTTTGGGAACACAGTCCATATTTACGTGCATATATGGTATCCCTAATATTCATTTGGTTCCGTATCCGCGTTCTTTTTTGCACTCTCCTATGACGGAAAAATGCCATGTTACAAACTAGTGCAAATGGTTGTGGCGGACAATAAGACTCAAATCTCAATGGCTGGAAGTGCTCGCTATAGATGTTTGCGTATGCAGCCACACTATGTTCTTTGCTAACATACCTGGTCGCTGCAAATCAGTATGTTGAAAGCACTTCATGGCATGCGGGCATGGTAAGTTGTAACGATCCAACCAGTCGTTTTGTGTATTTGAGCACCATTTCCCCTTTTGATGCTTCCCGTATGTGTATTTATAGTTTTATAACTTACGGGGATGGTTAGTTTTATTTTGGGGAAGTTTTGGAATGATTTGGATGTCTTAGTTCTTGGTTTAGAAGCTTAAGATGCAAATATTGACCGAAGTTTGACTTTGGTAAAAACGACTCCGGAACGGTATTTTGATGGTTTTGATAGGTACATAATGTGATTTTTGTACTTGGGCGTATGTCCAAAATTGAATTTGGAGGTCCCTAGGTTGATTTGACTTGTTTTGCCGAAAGTTGGCAATTTGAATGTTTAGAAATTCCTTAGGTTTGACCGTAGGTTAATTTTATGGCTATCGGATTCAGATTTTTATTTTGGGACTTGGAATAGGTCTATTTTGGTATTTGGAATTGTCTACAAAATTTGGTGTCATTCCGAGTTGGTTTGCTAGGAATCAGACACTTGGTT